CATTAATTATGTTAAGGAATTTCCCTACTACTCCTCTTTTGCTGATATTTTTACCAGGAAAGTGTATATTTTATCAAATGCCTTTTCTGTATTAAGATGATCAAGTAACTCAGCAAGTTGGAAGGAATTAGGGTAGATAGGCAGTGCGCTAGAGGGTTTGCTAAGGGGATAGGAGAGTTGGGCAGGCTGAGCACTATTTGGGGGATGTCAGTGAAGGAGTGGCAGCCATTCACTCAGCAAGTCAGTGGGGGATGAGTAGCAGATGAGTGATCAATTATACTGGAATACTTCTATTAAGTCCATCAACAGGGAAAAGTGGCTGATAGGACTGGACGGGGAGAGTGGGGCTAGTTTGTGCTGCTAGTCACTAAAGGATGAAGGGAACATGGTCATCATGGAAAGATTTTTTCATTACCATCTTGGTCATAAATGCCAGGTAAAGAGATTATTGGCGAGAATTCACTGTACATTTAAAACATGCCTTATACATTACCATTTTAGCCAAGAATTTGAAAAACAAAGATGTGGAAATTTGCTAGGTAATGTTTTTGAAATAGAGATTTTTACCTACTCAGTAGTTCTATGAATTCTCTTGTAGGTTGAAACAGATTTTTTAACCCCAGTATCAAGAAAAACTTCATTTAGAAAAGGTAAACATACATATCTTTATTTTGTAACTTCATTCTGTTGTCCAGATTGTAATAAAATCCTTTTTTTTCAAGTAGACATAGCTACCATTTGGTTTCTTACAGTTGCTTACAACTTCATTGAACATAAGTTTAAAAATATATTAATCCTCTTTATTAAAAACTTCTCTTTGCAGATTTGGGAGAGAATTCTGGTCTTGGGAAACTTTTTACAACTGCAATGGATTCTTTAGATGAAGAGGAAAAGGATTATTATTTTTCTGACTGTGAATAATGAAAATGAGAAAATATACTTTCTAGAATTTCTAGTATAACCAGCACATCTATGTACTTCTCTTGGCGTATATGTATTTTCTTTATCTATAATAGCTTCTTATGAAAAATATGGACTCCTTTTCAAAGACTTCGTTTTTGTATTCAAATCAGAATTTCCCTGAAAAATAGAATCTTTTTCACTGTCTCATCTTATAATGTAAAAGAGATTGTTTTGTTTATATGGCTGTTTGTAAATTAATGTTTTGTGATATTAAAATTTATTTAGATAAGTCTTTTATAAGTATGTATATCTGCTTACACAAGGAAAATGATGGTGTTTTTTTAAAAATGTTGCTATGAAGTAGGGAGATATGGCAGAAGATTTTTCTTGTGGCTACTGAATTCATGAAAACTTGGTATATATTCCCAGAGTTGATCTAATAATGACTTTTATGACATACTTCCCTCCTGAAACTTGTGTAATTTTAATTTATTCCTTTTTCAATATTTTATTACATAGAAACAGGGCATTTTTGTTGATTCTTGTAATGATATTTACATATGTAGAAATAGTATAAAAAGCTATTTTAAACATCCAGTTAGTAGATGCATTAGTGCAAGAAATGAAGTTAACATTTGTCATAAACTTTTTAGCAAACCTCTTTTAGCTTATCCTACCATTTTATTTTAGACTTTGACAAAATATTTTACACAAGTTGCAAAACATATTCACCTACTCCTTTTCTACAGTTAGACTATTTAAATAAAGTTAGTTGTGTTTATTTTTTTTAGTTGTCTTTTACACTTAAATTAGGCCCTAGAAAGAAAACAAATATGCATTTTGTTATTGGCCCAAATTGTTTCCTGAAAAAGTATCTGAACTTTTTAATGGGAAATAACATTTTCTTGTATCCTAGGAAATTACCAACAAACAGCAGTTATACTACTGTTGTGATTATTGTTGTTGTGTACCATCAAGTTGGAACCAACCCATAGCTGACTCTCCAGCAGTTTTTAGAGGCACTTAACTACATGTGAGGAGATTGTCCATCTTTATCCGGCAAATCTTCAGGTGGATTCAAACCATGTGCCTTTGTATTAGCAGCACAATTTCTTTTTACTGAGCCATCAGAGTGTTAGAGAAACAATACTAAAAAGCAATGGTACAATTGGACTAAAATCATTCACCTTTAAACAGTGATTACTTCTCCCACAAAGACTGGGTAGATATAGATGGAACATATGAAAGGGTTGTGTTGTTTTTTTTTTTTTTTTTTTCAGAGTGGCTTTATTAAACAGTGTAAAACCTGAGTTGCCAATATTAAATGCAATCCTATGCTGCATGAAGTTAGTGGGTCATCTTTTAGGGGTTTTGTTTTTTGGTTTTTTTATCTTATTATTTTTGTGTGCTTGTACTGTCAAATCAGATCTGACTGGTACAGGAGAAGATTGCCCCTCCTTCCTCGACAGAGCATCTGGTGGATTCGAACCGTGCACCTCTGGGATTGTAGTTGCAGCTTCTTGCCACTAGGCCACCAGAGCTCCCTTTGTGTGTGTGTGTGTGTGTGTGTGTGTGTGTGTTTATGTTTTAGGATTTAAGAAGGTGGCCAAATTTAAAAAAAAAAAGGGGGAGAAGAAGGTGGCCAAATCCTATGGTTAGAAATAAAGAGAAATTTAGAAATACATAGCCTTAGCCCAATATAAAGAAAGTTTTTCCCTGTTCCCCATATTCCCTGTGTCTCATTCAGTAACCTTCCTCTTCTGTATTATTGCTCCCACCTGCTCGGTACCTGGGTTTTAGTCTTTCTTTCCATCAAGTCTGAAGATAAGCTAGTAAGGTTTAAAGCAACTCCAAAAGAACACTTTAAAAAGTAGAAAATAAAAGTTGAATTGAAAAAGTTTAAAAAAAGGAGAAAATAAAGACTTAAAGGGCTCAAGGACTGAGATGATACCAATAGAGTTAATATTTAAGGACTAACACTGGATGTTTTACAAGCTATTTCAAGCCTAAATATGGAGATGTGTCTGTCCACATAGCAAGCATAAATAAATATTCAATCTGCTGGTTGACTCAAAGGAGTTGAAATACACGGTGTGGGAGGACTTGCAAGATGTCACCCTAAGGGATCTGTGGTGGGCTAGCTGCACTGTAATCCCAAGAGGGATGCGATTCAAATCCACCAGGTGCTCTGCTGGAAAAGGAGAGGCAATCTCCTGTAACAGATCTGATTTGATAGTACATACAAAAAAATAATGAAATTTTTCTTAAAAAAAAATGTCAGGGAGCTTTGGTGGCCTAATGACAAGAAGGTACACTGCAATCCCAGAGGCGTGTGGTTCACATCCACCAGATGCTCTGCTGGAGGAGGAGGAGGGGCAATCTCATCCTGTAACAGTCAGATCTTATTTGACGGTACACACAAACAAAATAGTAAATTTTTAAAAAAAAGTTGCCCTACCCAAACCAGTGCCAAGCTACTGAAGAACTGTGCTCCCTGCAGTCAGCTGGGGCAGAATAACACCATCTATAGAGCAACCCTGACAAGGCTAGGCAAGCAGTAGCAGCAAAATGCACGATAATCAGAACCAGAAAAAGTCCCTTTCCTTTTCCTGGTTTAGCACTGTCCTTGGTGTAAAAGAAGAATGCTCAAAGTCTAATCCATTATAGCAGAGCAGGTACTAAAAGAAGACTTTGCATCTAAACAAGAATAAATTGGTAACTTCACACTAGCCAGTAGTTTAGTACATCCTTCCCACCTGGCTTTGACAATTATTTAGCAAGATACACATGCAATCAGATGCATTCAGTAGAACTGAATTTATTCTACCTTTATGAAGCCAAGTTCACAGTTGTTTTCAATTTCTTCTGTCCCTCTTTATCACCAGATCTAAACTGAGGGAAGGTCTGCTATGAGGTTTGTTCAACTACCCAGTATTAAAAGTAGTAGTAAAGCAAGCAGAGAATAAAGAGGTAAATTAGGGGAGAAATACTGTCCATATGGAAGAGACGACTGTAACACCAGAATGACCAGAAGGGTCATTCAATGACATTTTTCAGATAAAAACAGAGCCATCTTAAAATATTAATAGCAGTACTAGCTAGAGACATGAGTGAAAATAAGTCTATATTAAATAGCACATTTATACTAAAAATACATTTTCCAAGTGCAAGTCATATAAATAGCTTAAGAATAAAGTGCTTTGAAGTTCATATTAGAATCTGACTAACTGGGACACCTTTGAAGAGAGATTACATTTTCTACTTTCCTAGATGCTAAGGGCATTTATGGCACAGTAGATACGTACCCTTGGAGAGGGACATCATGCTTGGGAAGGTGGAGGGACAGCACAGGAGGGGAAGACCCTCTGAGGTGGATTGTTTCAGTGACTGGGGTAATTGGGATGGGTGTGTCAGAGGCAGTGAGATTGGCACAGGATAGGGCAGGGTTTAGGGCTGTTGTACAAAGGGTTGCTATAAGTCGCAAGTGACTCAATGGCACAGAACAACAAATATATATAGAAGAAAATTGGCAGCAGTCATGGATACATCAAACTATTATGCTAACACTAATCTTTAGGAAAAAATTCAAAATACTTGTCTTTTAACTTTACTTTTCTTACACTATGCTAAATAATTCAAATTCATTGCCAGCAAGTGAGAACCAACTCATGGCTGACCCGCCACTGAGTTTCCAAGGCTTTAAATTACATGGGAGATGTCAGCTTTATCCAGTGGAGCCACTGAGGATGTATGAACCATCAGAGAGGCAAGGCCTTTGGGTTAGCAGCGCAAGTCCCTATCAACTACACCTGAGAGCTCCCTAAAAGAACATTTAATAAACCTTTCTTTCCTATTACACTTTTAAAAATTGTTTCATGACAAAAATGATTACATCAGAAATTATTTTCTTTTTAATAATTTAAAGAACCTATATACAATGTCTTTAAGAAAGAAGGAAATAGTCTCTTATTTACATCTCTTTTTTTTTTTTTTCTTATTTACATCTCTTAAACAGTAATCACCAACCACAGCAATAATTGTTGAAGTGCACTTGGTATTATGAGAGTTCTTTGACCACTGACTCTTGAGCAGTTCGGTCATACATTGGATTTCAATCCACCCTGGTTAAGACTGTTTGGTAACATTTGCATGTCAAATAAATGGTTAATGTATCTATAGATTTCCTCAGCCTTTTGATGAGTCACTTGTGCATACAGAGAGATTTCTTGAGGTGCACTGAAAAATAATTTGAACAAAGTAAAATTATTACATTAGAACTTTAACTTTTATAAAATTTGATTTCTCTAAAAAACATGAGACACAAAAGCTTTCAGCCAGAGAAAATATTTTCAGCCTAAGCATGCTCCTACCAGTTGATAACTCTTTAGGATTAGTTTCAATAAAAATGTGTTCATTATTTAATAGTTATGTGCAAAATTACAACTTCAAAGGTATCTGATTGAATGAATCTATTTTTTTAAAAGATCTTCCATTTTCAAGCATTATAATAACATAAAACTCTTAAAATTTTCCAGGCATAGAATTAAATAGAAATGTTAGAATATAAGATCAAATGTAAGTGCTATTTTGTGTTTATCTTGCCACAAAGCTCCCAGCTCCTTCAAGGTTATGGTTGTGTTTTTAGTTCTTTTCCCCATTAATGTTCCTAACTTTCATGCAGTGACTATTACATGCTGGCAGGCAACAGTATTCATTGAATGAAATACTCTTAACTGGCATTATCCCTTACTTTTTTGAAACATAATTCCTGAGGAATGCTTGCTTCTAAATAACTATTTGAAAATATTCATTATTTTAAAAGACATACCTGTTTGTCATTTTGCTTACAGATGAAAAATGGTGGCACATATTTAATGCGGTTATATAACTTATATTGGGAATACTTAGATAAAATTGAAGTGTGTCCCGTTTACTACTGTTCACTACTGCTGGAACATGAATACCAACATTCTTTCTTTCTTCCACTAATGACAGTTCTTTTAACAAATCTGCTGTTTCTTCTTGGCAGGAACTGAAAAGAATTCGTATTCCAGCACTGATTAAAGCAGTCAGCAGGCTGTCATAGCTCTTGGTTCTCCTAAACATCTTTGAGGTGTCTCCTAAATGTTTTGTAATTAGGAAAATGAAAACTTCAGTAAGATTTGTTAACATTCTTTATATTATTAAAATATCAAGATCTATGCCAATGAGCAAATCAATGCCACAGTAAAGCTATTTTAGCAATTCCACAAGTAAAATTTTAAAGTAATTCTCAAACATTATGAGATAGAAAATAGGGAGGTCTGTCTTTATGAGTATCATAACAGGACTCAACATAGCAATGAAGAGGCAGGAAAGCTTGCAAACTCAAAAAGCCCAACCCACTGCCATGGAGTCCAGACTAGCTCACAGCAAACCTCCTTTTTATGGGAAGAGACTGCCTATTTTTTTTCTCCCATGAAATAGTTGGTGGATTCAACCTGCCAACCTTTCTGTTAGCAGCCTTATATGGTAGGCACTATGCCACCAGGGATCCTAGATCATTAATTGCTGAGGCCAAGACCATATTACTGAATTCAATGACAACTATCTGATAGAGGTTTTTTTAATCATGAAAAGTTCTACGGTATTTAATGTAAACATTCACAAATCAGTATGTATATTTTAAAAGTTTCCCACATCCTTGCAGAAAAATAAACCAAATAATTGTTAAGTTCCTTTACAGCCTTATATATAAAAACACTTAAATACAAACCTGGTTTTTCTCTGTCCTTTTCCACAATCAGACATATTCTTTCAAACATGCTTTGTAGGTGCTGGATCTGGTCAATGAGCTTGTTCTTATTGATACTATTTAACATCTCAGACTGAGACTTCCTTTCTACCACCATGCGATTACTCACTATGTAATCACAACCATTAAGAGAACAAATGTCTACTTCTAATCCATGGACTGCACGTAGGGAAGAAATGACTTCTGAACCAGAAGTGATTTCACGACTATCCACAAGAATACGAGTTCTTTTTCCTTCCTGTGGAAGGCTAAGAGAAGTATGAGTTCCAGGCAAATAAGGTTTTGAATTTGAATATGCCACCGAAGCCTCTTCTGTATTGCTACAATCCTGAAAAGTTGAAAAATATTATAACTAGGTTAAATATATGCTAATACCAGAAATTTGTAAGTCTGACATTGACCCTCTTTACTGATAATAATTTTTCCCTTCTTTCAAAGTGACAAAAATCATGAATGATTGTTTGAAACAATGTAAATGAAAGATTGTATAAAACACAATGTATCTGAATAAAAAAGAACAAGGATGTCAGATTAAAAACTAAAGAGCACATAAGATTATCACTAGGCAAAAGAAAATGCCACCACTCTGATGACTCAAAAAAGTTGAAGCTTTAGCTAAGAATATAAAGGAAGAAAGAAAAATTTTAAAATGACAAAAGACCCTAAGTATTAGGGAGCTCTGGTGGTCAAGTGGCAAGAAGCTGCACTGCAATCCCATAGGTATGTGGTTCGAATCCACCAGATACTTTGCTGGAGAAAGAGAAACAGTCTCCTCCTGTACCAGTCAGATCTGATTTGACGGTATACACACAAAAAATAATAAAATATTTTTTAAAAAAAGGCCGGCCAGTCAGATCTGATTTGACTGTACACACACCAAAAAAATAATAATTTTTTAAGGCTGTAAGTATTAAAAAGGAGAAATTAAAATTTTAGCCTAGAGGGAAAAAAAGTAGAATATTTAAATAATCTTAAAACATTATAGTTCATCTTAAAAATGTAAATATCTAAGACATAATGGAAAGAGAATCAGAAGATTAAATAACCAGCCCTTCTCTCCAATTAAAATCACTAGCATTTTTAAAAAATATTTTTCCGCAATACCCTTCACAATAGCTAATCACAAGATTAAATATTTGGGAGTAAATATAACTAGAAGCACAAAAGATCTATTCAAAGAAAATTACAAAACATTATTACAAGAAACAAAAAAAAGCCTAGAGAAGTGGAAGAATATTCCCTGCTCATGGATA